GTTTTTTCCCAAACCATCCTGTGGTGTTGGGTCTTCGTTTTGAAGAGACGGTCCCCGCGTTCCTCTCCTCTTCTCCTCCTCCTCCCTCCTCCCTCTTCCATGCGTTTCACCCACCCAATACAACGCTTCGTGGCTCCATAGGGGGCTCCACCGCGAAGGTCCCAGTGGCACCGCCCGCATGCGTCCGCCACCACCCTGCACAGCCCTTGCTCCCTGCGTTTCACCCACCCAGTACACGGCTTCGTGGCCCCATAGGGGTCTCTACCGAAGGTCCCAGTGGCACCGCCCGCATGCGTCCGCCCCCACCCGGCACAGCCCTTGCTCCCTGCGTTTCGCCCACCCAGTACAACGTTTCGCCCCACAAGGAGCTCCACCGAAGGTCCCAGTGGCACCGCCCGCATGCGTCCGCCACCACCCAGCACAGCCCTTGCTCACTGCGTTTCGCCCACACAGTACAGCGTTTCGTGGCCCCACAAGGAGCTCCACCGAAGGTCCCACTGGCACCGCCCGCATGCGTCCGCCACCACCCAGCACAATTGCGGTATTTACACCTGCAGATGGTTGGGTCCTTCGCCATGCTAATGTTTGTTTCCTGTCTCTCGTTCTCTCTATCGGTCTTTCCTGCCTCTTCTGTGCGGCATATGTGTTGCTGTTCTATCTCTCTGTTCTTCCCATCTCACTCTCTCTCTCTCTCTCTCCTTCTCTCTCTCTCTCTGTCTCCCCCTCTCCTTCCCCTCATGTCTTCATTTCCTCCTCCTCCTTCTCCTCCTCCTCCTCCTCCCCCTCGTTTTCCTCCTCCTTATCCTCCCAATCATTTCCCTCATCCTCATGTTCCTCCTCCGCCTCCTCCTCCTGGACCTCATGCACCGCGCTGCGCACGCTTCGGATGCGCAGCAAGATCAGGCCTGACATCCTGATGCTACTGCACGCGCGCCTTTCTGCAACAGTGGAACCACGCGGTGCCGCCGTGCCGCCGGGCGTCGACGAGGCGCCGCTCGTCGCGGCTGGCACGCGGCCCAACCGCTTCGGCGAGCGGCGGGCGCGGCGGCAGCGAGGGAGACCGTGCTTCCGCGCTGCTGACTGCGCGGATCCGCCGTGCTCCTCCTCCTCCTCCTCGTCCTCCTCCTCCTCCTCCTCCTCCTCCTCCTCCTCCCTCCTCTTCCTCCGCCTCCTCCGCCTCCTCCGCCTCCTCCTCCTCCTCCTCCTCCTCCTCCGCCTCCTCCTCCTCCTCCTCCTCCTCCTCCTCCTCCTCCTCCTCCGCTATCCTGCCTGGGCTCCGGGCGACCGCCCCCCCCAGCAGGGGGGCTCCGGGCGACCGCCCCCCCGCAGCACGCAGACCAAGGGGGGCGGCCCCGCGAAGCCCAGGAGGAGAGGGCGCCCTCCGAGGGAGGCGGCCAGGGCGTCATCGCGCACTCCGCGGGGGCGTCGCGATGCGCTGCTAACTGCTGTCTCGGAGCCCAGGCGAGGGCGCACGCGTGGCAGGAGCTGGCAAGCGGCCATCTCTGCGACTGCCGCGAGCCTCTGCTTCAGGCGTCGCTTCCGCTGCTCCGAGCTTGCGGTGAGATCAGTGTATGCGTCCCTCCATCCAGCTCCCTCGCGGCGGCTGGCCCCTGGCTGCTGATCCCGCCCACGCGGTCCAACATCCTCGGATCGACGATGCGAGCGTCTCGAACCGTGAAAGGCGTTTCCTGCATCTCGCTGAGGTCCCCCTGGAGCTCCTCCGAGTCTTCTCCGAACCCTTTGCGCTACTCTCGAACCTGAAGCGCAAAAAGCTCACGCAAGATATCTTGATGCTCTTGAACCATCCTCTGTCCTCCCGCGGGATGCCCTCCATCGTGTCTGTCTTCGTCGCGATCTTCAAAATATGCAGTGCTCTCCACCCCCTTTTCGACTCCCATTCATCACCATGGCGGGCATGGAGAACTCTACCGTCAGGAAGAGGAGTCCCCCCAGCGCCTTAAGGAACTCGTAAGCGATGTTCTTCGCTGCCTGATCTGTGGGGGCTGCCCATCAACATGGGAGACTCCTTGAATTTAGATGCCGTTAAAGCGCATCTGATCGTCATCTCGAGGTCGCACCTGCCCTAGTCCTTCGGGGCGTTACCATGACCCGCACCTCGTTCCTTGCTTCGGGCGGGATGTCAAAGCAGAGACGGTGAGGGCGCAGAGTCAAAATCTCTTGCACACCACCTCTGGGAAGTCCCTCGGCACTGAGGAATT